ATGTTAGCAGAGAACAGATGACTGCTCATTTTCAGGAAAGAGCAAGGACCACCAGCACTCTCTCTCATTAAGCAGAAAGCAAACTCATGTTTTATTGTGCTTTCTCTCATTTTGCTGTAATTCAAGAGACTTAAAAAGTGAGAGGCCCACTAGGAAGCTTGAGGTGGGGCGGGCTGATCCTACAATGATAGGAGATCCTGTCAGTTTCTAAATTCACTTAATTTCTGTCTAAACCTCCTTCTAGAAGTCGGTCTTGGTCTCTTATGAAATAGGCGTGGATTGTAAGGGTCCAGCTCCTGAGAAGCAAGGAGGACTTCTTAGCCAAATATCAAATAACTTTCAGAGTTTTGGAAAAAATTTCACAAAATACCATGATTGAAGAATCACACCACTTGCAAGGCAAGCAAAGTTTAAAAAAAAAAAATATCCACAGCTGCACTTCCCAAATAAAACTTAATGGGGAGGAATGATTTCAATTTTGGAGTAAAACATTAATGATCCCAAGTGCCTTGCTTTCCTGTATTTTTACATTTCTCTTCTGAGAGGGGAAGGGAACCTGGAAGGTAATGTTTCTCACAAATTTCAAGCCTGAGCTAGGAATGTAGTCATACATTTCATTTCTCATAAACATAAGTGTGCAAAAAACTCGTATTTGACTTTGAGGTTTATTTATTTAAAATGTTTTCAAAATAAAATAAAATATTTTCAACTTTTCTAATATATTTTCTTGTTTATTGAATAGAAGATGTAAAAAGAGAAGATAATGCAGAAAATTATTCAAGAAGCAACAAATTCACATAGGTAATTTTAAAAATTGCAGCTACACAGTTAACTTAAAAATTCCTTTAGTATATGTTGATATATATACATATCCTTTTGAGAGGACATAAAAATAAAGGGAAAAAGTAGTTTCAGATGAATCTACAAAAATAGGAGTTAAAGCAGAAGCCAAAATAGATACACTACTGTAATGCATAATCATTGGTGCCTCTATGTCAAATAAATCTTGTTTAATGAATTAAAAGATCTCCAGTCATCAAATGGAAATATTTTATAAGTATTTGCATAGTTGTGATTATTTTAGCAAGACCTTGATATTAAATATATGAGAATCCAGGCTTTGAAAGAGATGTTTCTGAGAAATGCAAACTTTCAGATTAATTATATATTAGTTAATAACGAATTTCTCAAGTATTTACAAAAGAATTTCCAAAGACTACAACATAATGAAGAAACAAGAACAAAAACAAATAAAATGAGTTACAGTTTCAAACGTGGAGAATTCACTTTGAGTAAGAGAAAAACAAGGTAATAAGCAAAATTTTGGACACTCATGTAAAACATCAGAGATCACTTAAAAACTTATTTCTGGCGAATATTTCCACAGATATTTTTAGGGTGGAAAACACTTTCAGCAGACAGGAACAATAGCTTCAAAACTTAGGGGAAAAAATATTTGGGTTTTAAAAGTTAATACTGTATCGCTTTAACAGATTCTTTTGGCTGTTTTCCTTTTGTTTAAATTTCTTTACCTGTGCTCATTTTTGCGTGCCTAAGAAATCTATCGAAATAGCCTAACGTTCTAACAAATGCGAATGTTTCTGTGAAAAGAGGGAATTAGCTCAACGATGGAGATGATTAGATAAATAATAGTATTTCAAAGCTCACAATAAACCTTATAAACTGAGGCCCAACCTTTAAGCACGAATTAAAAGACTAGAGTTGGGGGTAAGATGGCGTAGTTATTATACCTTTACACCTCTCTGAGCCGAGAATTCACGTGCATTCACTGGGAAGAGCTCAGAGAGCTGGTTACTTTTTTTTTTTTTAATTTGAAAAATAGAGCTCACTTTCAGGTGTTCCGCACCCGGATAAATGCTCTGTTCCCTAGGAGCGCTCACTCGCAGCCATTGTGTTCCAAGCGCAGGTGTCAAACGCCAGACTCGGCGCCCGCTTTGTCCGCGCGACACACCTCTCAAACAATGACTTTGTTGCCCAGGAGCAGAAAAGACCTGGGGGGCCCCACTCCTGGTCGCCAAGCTTTCGTTCAGAAGCCCAGACTCCATTTCCTAGCCAGCACCCGATTTCCCTAACGCAGCCCGCTCGGCTGGGACCCGGGGACGCGGGAAGCGCGCAATCCCCAACCTTTCCTTTCTGGCCTATCTCCTTTGTGGAGCGTCCAAGCTCCCCAAGCATCCAACCGCTCCCCCAAAGTGATCTTTTCTTTTCCTTCTTTTTTTTTTTTTCCGCCTTAGATAACAGGGTGGGAGGAAAAATGCATTCGCCTGGCGCTCTGGAGCCAACTGTGCAATCACCTGGGAACCGCTAGCAATTTCTTGAAAAATTGCTTTAATAAAGTCGGCCACTCCCGGGGGCGGTGGAGAGAAAGGCAGCGCTCGCCTGGGAAAGGGAGGCAAGCCTCGGGGTCTGTCCTGCGTCCCTACCTCAGCGAGAATCTCGGCCTCCCTAGCCCTCCTCCCCAACCCACTTTGGGGAGGAAAGCGGGCTGAGTCCCACGACCCCGGACCGGGCCTTGGCTCTCGGTCGGCAGGGCCCTGCTGGTGTCCGCGGCCTTGGAGTTCCGCGGGCTGCTGCAGAGATCAAGCCGCGCTGCTGCGGCGCTGGGGCGGCGCCGAGGCCTGGGGGGGCGCGCCCCGCAGCGCTGTGCGTGTGTCCTGGGGAGCAAGCCCGCGTCGGCGTTTTTATTTCCTTTCCTTTCTAAGCCGCGTTTACAACTTCACCAATGAATAACCCGCCTCTCGTTTCAACCTAATCACGGCTCTTTGTGTATCTTTCTGTTGATGATTTATAGAAATAAATTAATAACACCCCAACTCCACGTGCTACAGTTTATGTTACATCTCAGCCGCGTCCAGCCCCAAAAGAGACCGCGTGCGGAGGGGCGCCCCAGTTCTCCTCTGGTTTCCACTGTTCCTCCCGGAGCCACGATAAGCAGCGGCCGCCTGAGGCCGGGCACAAACGGCCTAGGCCGGGATGGCAGGCGGCGGCAGCCCGGTTGGTCCACCAGGCCCTAAACACCTTCTGATCGCTCTGGCACCCCAGACTCTCCAAGGGTCTCCTCCTTCGTCTCAGCCTTCTCGACTCGCACCTTCCTACTCCCTAACCCGGGTCGGGGAGAAATTACCACCAAGCGGGGGAAAAGGCGAGGGAAGAACCTCCAGTCTACAAATTATAGCAAAACACTTTTTTTTTTTTTTTTTGGGAGGGGGATCTGGAAGTCCCCTGGATATCCTTGGCTAGAGGGCAAGTCGCCAGATTCTCAGAGCACAAATTCAAATGCAAGTTCCATATCCCACCCCAAACTGGCGTTGCGGGAGTGCGACCGAGGCCGCTTGAGTCCGGGCGCGATTTCTGCACTGGCCCCGGAAACCTTGGAACCCGCCGTGGCGGTTAAGTGTCTGAGGCCAAGCAAGGGGTTTCTTCCTAAAGCTGAGTGGCCGGGGAGCGACGTGCAATCTAAGGGAACCGCTTGGCTCCTTGGATAATTAGTAACTAGCTGTCAAAGCGTAGGCCGGTTGGGGAAGACCAGCAAACGTCCCCGGGCCTCCGGAGAGACCTCCAACCTGCCTGACTTCTCCTAGCGGCAGAACTGGTGGCGAGATGTGTGCAAGCCCTGCTTTCTCTGATTGAGACCAAATCTTTGTGAAAGGGGTCTTATCTGAATTTACCCCACCCCATCTCGGCTTGCTTAGATTTGTGGTTTCTTATGCCCGGTGCGGGTCCAGTTTCATCCTACAAGCAAAAGTTCCCCTTTACAAATCTGAACAGGCGTGGGGATTCGAGAAAATCCCGACCCTTGCATAGTTGCTGTGGAGGGGACTGCCCACCAGAGAGCTGGCCTCCCAGATCCTAGCTCCAGTGCTGCCAGTCCCTTGGTAAAGAATGGCAGATTGCTGCTCTTCCAGAGGCCGGCCTGGCCGAGCTGGGGGAAAAATGAGTGGCCTGAGGTTTGTGAGGTCGCAAGCCTCTGCTCCTGAGAAAATCACTGCATCTACCTGCACCTTCAGTTTCAGGGTCAAACCTCCAGTCAAAAGGTTTCATACCTTGGGTTGTTTCAGGCCGAGTCCCAGTCCCACTGGGAAGGCCCGTGGGTCTTTCCACTCTAGCCTGGGGGCCAAGAGAGATGAAGCCTTTGGCCCTAGGGTCACCTGGCTAAGGGACTGGGAAGGGTCCAGGTGTTGGAAGAGAAGCGGAGCATCCACCCCCCCCGGGGGGGGGCGGTTTCTCTGGTAGAAAACCGACGGACAGAGTGGTCGACCCAGGCTCCTTCAAAGCACCAGGCACCAGGAGCCGGGGACGCCAGGGACGCTGGCAGGTACTCTGCACCTAGGTTGCTGCCTACCTGAGCATTCGGTCCACCTCTGCCCGCTGCTCCGCTGCTTCCTCGGTGTTGAGAGCCTGCAGCTCCTTGAGGATGGGAGGGGTGTCATAGTCGTCACCGTCTTCGGAGCCCTCATCCCCGGACAAGCGGCCCTTGGTGTGACCGTTGGTGAGGGTATGGAAGACCGGCTTGGTGTCCGGATCTGTCCCGCTTCCAGGGGACAGGGGCAGCGTCTCCAGTTTCACCCCAAAGCTCGGAGATGGCAGCAACTCCTCCAAGGCCTGGATCAGCACCTCCTTGGTGACCCCGGAGCTCAGCAGGGCGTTCAGGAGTTCTTGCTGGAGCGATGTGAGCTTGGACACCATTTTCCAAGGACGGAAAAGAAGGGGGTTAGGGGGTGGGTGGGTGCAAGTGAGGAGGGTGGAGGGGAGTTCCACAAGCAAGCCCCAAGTTCTGGAACCCCTCCACCCTTCAGCCTCCAGACACCTGTTACTCCCCCGGGGTCCCGGAGTCTCCTCTGAGAGGAGTCAGAAAACTTCTAACTTGCCATGATCGCCACCATTAGGCCATATAAGATATGCAAATTAGTGGGAAGGGCCCAGCTTTCGGCAAGATGCAAATGGTGGTGGGGAGGGGGGGAAGCGAGAGAGAGGGAGAGACTCAGGGGCAGTCGTGGGGAGCCGGAGACCTGGACCAGGAGCTCGGTTTGCCAGAGCCCATTGTACTCACGCTGGGGGTCTGAAGACCTTCTTTTACTGGTTCTGTTTATCAGCCACACTTTAGTTGACCTTTGGACTTGTTAAACAAGTGGCCTGCAACCTAGGCGCGGGGGCTTTTCCACTGGCGCCAGGCTCTGCTTCAGCCCAGAAAGAAGAAACTGAGCTTCGGGGGTTTCAGGTGAGAGCTGGATAAAATTGGGGGACCCTTGGAAGAAGTGGATGGAGAGGATGCGAAGAGTACACAGCCTCCGCGATCTCTGGTGGTTTACCAGGAGAGCCAGCTGGTGGAGGAGGAACTGACCCCTTGGGAATGGGCGCAGAGACCCGGGGGAAGTGGAGTGGCGTTAGGTCGGGGGGAGCGTGCCCCGGAGCGACCCCATTTATTTCTACCTCTGTTACTGCTCTCCAGGCCCCAGGCCCTCACCGGCCGGGTTTGGCCGTTTGGATTTGTAGGACTGCCGGCCAGGACAACGTAGGGAAGGGGTGAAGGAAGCCGGGAGGAGGCTTGGAAAGCGGCACGGACTAATTTATGGCCAAGAGGGAGTAGCCAAAATGGAGCTTCCCCAGCAGCAGGCGCCCAGCCTGGTCAGGCCTGGGGGAGCTGGATGCGTGGGTGGTGCTGCCTGTTTAAAAGCGAAATATCAAAGTGCCTCGGCTTTGGAGGCAAAAATAGGACTGTGGGGACTCCTTTCTAGTAGTGAAAGCAAAGCTCGGCCTGCCGCTGGATGGACAGATGGAGCAGCGTTTTCTCCCCATCCACTCATTTCTGGTTTGTTCTGTTCCAGGACAACCTCGGTGCCCGGGGCCAGAGACGCTCTCTGCAAATGCAAGGTCATTGTGGCAGCATGCCAAGTAGAGAAGGCACCCACAAGCCACTGAAAGAAGTTTTTTTCCACCCAGGCCTGGCCAGGAAGGAAGCCAACGGCCTTTCATTATTACAGGAGTTTCTGCCACATCTCCCTGAAAGGCTGAGGGGGAAAAGAGGGCCAAAGTAAAGGCTCCCAAATCTACAGGCTTGGACCTGACTTGCAGAAGAACAGGGGAGGGGCTTCTTATAATCCCACCTACCCTGGGAGCTTCAGTTTCCTGTCTGTGAAAAGGGATACCTATTGGTATCCTGCTAAGGTGCAGGGCAACTGTGCCATTGAATGAGACCACCTGTGTAAACCCTTGGTCTAACAATGGTGCTCACACTTTCCTGACTGGGAAGGCAGGAGGCCTGTTCCCAGTAGTAAAATCTAGCCCTTCTGGAAGCTTAGAGTTCTCAGAATCAGGGACTTGCAGTGCTGGGTTTGGAGCAGCAAGGACATTAGGGACAAAAATTCAGAATCAGCAGGAAATTTGCAAAGAAACTTCTAAATACAGTCTCCTACCTCTCCCTCCTTTGAGACAAGTAGGAGGAAATTAGGCTTGGGCTAGGGATAGAGAAGAATTTCAGGATGAGGGGAAGGGTCTACCCGCTTTCATCTGCTAGGTACAGGCTCAGATCTGGGAAGGCTGGTGATGTGAGTGACCAAGGACAAGCTATTAGGGAGCTAGGATGCCACTTTCGAATACAGGCTGGGCTACGGGTGCTTGGGTTTCTGTACTGGGAGTCAGAAAGAAGAGAAAAGCTTGTATACATGGAACCCCGAAGAAGGTTTATCCCTATCTCTGACCTTTCTCTGAGAAAAGGGGTAAGAAATTTATAGACATCAGGGCCTTTCATGTCATCTCCTTGTCTTCTAGTTTGTTGTGACATATGGCATATTCTTGAAATTCTTTCCACCCAGTAAAACTTTCTCTGCCTCCCCAACTCCCTTTAAGCGGGATAATGAAGTGGTCAAAGTCAATGTCCCTGGAGAGCAATCGTTTTTTTCTGTTTGTTACAATCATGACAGAATCATCAAGTTTTTGTGTTAACCTGGGAAACCCCATTGAAAAGCCAGTCATCACTTCCCTCTGACAGCACAGCTTTGTATTTCCAACTGCTGTGTGCGCCATCAGACTGCCAGCCAGGCCTCCTTCTCTCTCAAAATTCAGGTGCCTGCAAACCCGAACCCCAGTCACCTTAGCTGGATGCACAGGAAGTTGCACACAGAGTACAGGGAGAACTTCCTCTGAGTGTCCAGGTCTGTCTTCCAGGTAATCTGGCTACTCATATCTAGCAACTTCCCGCAGTCCTCTTGCCCACACCCACCTTGTATATGCCCCTTGGTGCAGTGTAGGTGCTCACCAAGGCATCACGTCTAGAGATCTGTAAAGATTCAATACCTATTCCTTCCTATGGAGATTTAAAAAGAAAAGTATAAATAGGACAGCAAATAGTTCTTCAGGATTCAGGTTGTAGATGCTAATTAAATGAGCTATCTCCTGAAATCCTTCAGTGAAACTTCCCTCCTATAGAGGAAGACACAGTATGATTTGAATAATCTCTGCTTATGTTTCACATGGTATAATGTAGTGATAGACTCAGATAGTGACTCCAAAATAAGACATGGGAGAGTCTAAGGAGGTTGCTTGTAGCCACTGGAGTAAGTTAGTGGAAGGGCTGGGACTGGGGCTCAGGACTTCAGTGCAGGACTTTAGGGTGAAAGAGGAGGGTCTATGGCTTTCACTGTTTTGGGAGAAGGAAAGTTGAAAGGGAGATTCTATGGGAGTGAGGTGGAGGATACACAGAAAGAACTTTGGAGTCAAAGATACCTACACATGCAAAAGGATAATGATTCTGTAATAAGTTTTTCAATATGCCTTTATTTTATTTATTTATTTATATGTGGTGCTGAGGATTGAACCCAGCACCTCGCACTGCTGAGCCACAACCCCAGCCCTGTGTTGTGTTTTTTTAAAGATGAAATGAATTAACAACTGCATGCTCCTGGATTATGGCAGGCTTTCACATATTCAGAAAAAAGAGATATACCATGAAAATATGCTTAAGTGAGGCAACTGACCTCTTTGGTTCCAGATTTCTTTCTTTTTTTCTTTTTGTTTGTTTTTTGGTACCAGGGATTGAACCCAGAGATGATTAACTTCTGAGCCACATCCCCATCCCTTTTTAATTTTTATTTTGAGACAGGGTCTTGCTTGCTTGCTTGCTTAGGGCTTTGCTAAGTTTCTGAGGCTGGCCTTGAACTTGCAATCATCCTGTCTCAGCCTTCCAAGTTTCTGGGATTTCAGCACGGTGTGCCACTGTGCCAGGCCTCCCAGATTGTTTTCTTAAGAGTTACCAAATTTAGAGGAACCATATTAGGTTCTTTTACCAAATAATAAATTTGTAGTTCAAATCCCAAGGTTTTCTATGGGAGATGGAATTCCTAGAGTAAAATCATTTAAAATCTAGTTAGTGGGTTATTCTGTGAAATTTTTGACTAAATGAACAGATGATTGTCTCTGAATGATCCTGCTAAGGATGACTTTTGTTCCTTATTTATTCAGATTTTCCCAACTGTCAGCAAGGAAACTATAGTCTAAAAATAACTTTCCCAGACACAAAAGTGTCTATGCTACGTGATTCCATTTATATGAATTTAAAAAGTAGGAACATTAACCCATAGAGGTAGAAGTTTCTGGGGTGGTAAAAGATTCTGTGTGTGTGTGTGTGTTAATATTTATTTTTTAGTTTTTTTGGGTGGACACAACATCTCTATTTGTATGTGGTGCTGAGGATGGAATCCAGTGCCTCACGTGTGCTAGGCGAGTGCTCTACCACTTGAGCCACAACCCCAGCCCAAGATTCTGTGTTTTGATCAGGATAGTGGATACATCATCAGGTTACACCTGCAGGATTTGTGCATATTGCCATTATGTATGTTTGCAATATGTAAATTATAATTCAGTAAAAAAATAAAGCCAATTTCAAAGTATAAAATGTAAACAGTGGAAGTCACCTCCTTATCCTCTTCAAGTGTTTACAGGTAATGTGTGGCCCCTCCAGGATCTCTTCTGTTCACCAAGTATAGTCCCTCATCTTTAAAATATATAGACTAACATATTCTAGGAGTGGGCAAACTTCTTCCATAAAGGAATAGATAGTAAATATTTTAGGTTTTGTGAGCCACACAATCTTTGTCACAACTACTGAACTCTGCTGCTACAGACAATACAAACAAGAATATGTGCGACTATGTTCTAATAAAACTTTATTTGAAAAAAATATTTGGCTGGCTGGATTTGACCCATGGACCAAAGTTCATCAACTCATGCAGGTCAAAATCTGTTGAGCTGAAAGCAACCTTAGAAGTCATCTCACTTGAATTCTTCATGATGAGGAAGCAGATTTCTCATTTGGGAGGAGAAATTACTTTCTCAAGAAATATGACCTGGAGCCCAGCATGGTGACACATGCCTGTAATCTCAGTGACTCGGAGGAGGCGAGGGAGGCAGGACGATCATGAGTTCGGCCCTAAGCAACTCAGTGAGACCTTGTCTCCTCTAGTAAAATATAGAAAAGGGCTGGGGGTGTGACTCAGGGGTTAAGCGTCCCTGGGTTCAATCCCTGGTACCAAAAAAAAAAGAAAAGAAAAGAAAAGAAATATGACATGGAGCACTAAGGAAATCCTGGCTTTGTAGTCAGGTAGATCAGCTGCTGTCTGGGGATGAGGAGCATGACTTTGGGCACGTTACTTTATTTCTTTCGGTCTTTATATTATGACCGTGTACAAATCTTGACAACAGTGGAATTTATGCCTCATGTGGTGGTTGGAAGAATGAATTGAAGTGACACAGAGAAACACTTTGCATGGGGCTGGCACCGCAGAGCACAAATCAAGTGCTTGCTCGGTTACAGAGCCTGGCTCAGGGGCCCTCTCCCTTCCACCCTTCTCCCTCCCTTCCTTCTAAAATGCACAGCTGACAGGGTAACACTACCAAGTGTTCAGTGTGGAACGCCTTTGGAGAGTGCTGTAAGAGAATAGCAAATTAGATGCAGGAAGATTCCAAATCCCACCAATCCCAGTCACTGGTTTTCTTTTTAGAAATTCCTTCCAGGCCTGAGCTTTTACTTCCCAAACATGCTGCGAATAGGTCAGCCTTGCCAGGGAAACTCCTAAGGGTAGAGGCAATTTATCTTTTTTTGATTCAACAATGCACATATTTTTGCTGGGTCATTTTTTAGAAATAAGGTGTTCCCAGGAGCTTGTAAAAGATTAAATTAAAAACCAGTGAGCTGGTATGATATTAAACTAATAAATACTACACTTAATGTCAAGAGGCTTCACTCCAATAACCTACTCCTCCTTTTCATTCTGCAACACCCTTGAAAAACAAGGTTGACAGTGGGCCCAGCACACACAGTAGGGGCTCTGTGAATAAATGTGGGTCCAGCACATAGTAGGAATTTTATGAATGTTTATTAGATAGACAATATGGGCTAGGCTGTAGCGATTAGGGGGAAAAAAGCCATAATCTTTATTAAAAGTTCTTGGAATCTGGTTTTTTGTTTGTTTTATTTTTTTTTTTAACCAGGGATTGAGCCTAGGGATGCTTTCCACTGAGGCACATCCCCAGCATTTTTTTAATATTTTCAGTCAGCGTCTCACTGAGTTGCTTAGGGCCTCACTAAGTTGCTGAGGCTAGCTTTGAACTCACAATCCTCCTGCCTCAGCCTCCCAAGACGCTGTGTTTACACCTAATTTGGAATCAGTTTCCACATGAATATTCAGATAAGTGTAACTGATGTGCTTTCTTGCCCCTTTCCCTCCTCACAAACCTTCAGGGTAGGAAGTGTCATATGAGGAAATAGAAGTTCCGGAAGAGTAAGGACTGGCACAAAAACACAAATGGTTGGGATTGGAGCCTTCGTCTTGGGCTGAGGGCCCCCAATCTCTTGTTAAGAAGTGCCTCACATCTGCATTTTCATACCTTTCAAGCCTTCTACCTAGTCAAACAGAGGAGACACCCATAAGTACCCTGCTTGGTCAGCACAGAGAGGAATCTGATACAGACAAAGAGACCTCAAGATCTTTCCCATCAAAGGAGGCACCTGACATGTGGAGAATCCTAATATTTACACACTGGTTTGTGACATACAAAGAGCTTTCTCCTTTCATTGAATCCTCCGAAGAGTCCCATGAAGAAGGTAAGGCAGGTATTACTATCCACAATTAACAGATGAGGAAACCGAGGCTCAGAGAGGAAGAATGACCTCTGATGGTTCCAGGATCACCACCTCCTGACTTTTTGCATCTAAAATCCGTGTTTTCCCCACGATGTTGGTTGGGTCATGGTAATATTGGCACAAAGCAGCCCAGGTACAGGCCTAAGACACAATAAGACACTCTAATTTCCACTCCCCAGGTCATGCTTGGGTGATAGAGAAGCTCTTTTCTCTTGGACCTCGTCCCCATCGCCCCACTCCTCCTTATGAAAAGGTGCCCAGAAAGAGCCCACTCTAGAGTTAGGAACCTCCACCCACTTAATATTACCTTGTGTCTCCCCCACCGATATCTCCTCTCCTCCAGTCCAAGGGTTAGAACAGTAGACTCTGCCCCAGCTCTGTGTGGTGTGCCTGGTCAGGAGTGCTATCCAGGCCTTGGGCACAAGAGTGGCCCCCTCAGCTTCACACTAAGAGATGACCAAGGTATCCTTTTATGCCCTGGTGACCAGACACAGGCTGCATACAGGGATGCTGAGGCAATAGCCAAGATTTATTGAGCATGCACTGTGTGCTGGGCCCTATGGGGGGTTTCTGGCCCTGCTGGGATGAACGAGCTCAATTCCTGCTCTAAAGGAGTTGGTTAGATGAGGGGAGATACAGACACGTGTGCACTTACCTCTCTTGCTAGATAGAACCGAGTAGGCTTTGTAGTAAGTGATGTGCTAATTGCCTTACATAGCATCTCATTCGCTCCTCGTGATTGTCCATGAGACAGGATTTTTTCCCCCAACATTCTAGTTTTCATAGCTGATGCTCAGAGAGCTTGTTGCTGCTCATCCTGGGTTGAGATTCAAATGCAAATATTTTCTATACCAGCCAAGAGAGAGGTGCCACAGGGATGTCAGGAGTCTGATCTGCTTCTGAAATCTGCCTCTGCTGCTTTCTAAACGTAACCTCGGGCAAGTTGCTGCTCTGAACCACGGTTTCTTCATCTGTAAAAAGGAAGACTGTCTAGAAATTGGCAGGACAGATAACATGCAAGGCCCCTGGCACACTTAATAAATAGGAGCAAATCTTAATAGAAATAGAGGGACCAACCAAGTTCTTTGGGAGCCCAGGGCCCTTGAAGGGTAAGTAGAATTTTTTTGTTGAGGAAAAATCAGAGAGCATTTTAGACTGAAAGAATAGCTGAGCAAAAGCTATTCCATGTGGGTGGAGGGCAAGCTGGGCTGTGTGGACTATTGAGGGATCTTACTGGCAATGACGTTAGAAAGCAGAGTCGGGGCTGATGGCGACAGATGTTCAATGCCAGGCCTAGACCTCTGAACTTGTCTCCTTAGGTCAGGAGGAATCATCTCTGAAAGTTTTCAAGGAGGTGTATACCATTATTTAACTTAATTTTTCAAAAGAATACTTATAACTCCAATGACTATAGGGTGCCTGTTTATTCGGTGCTTATATCCACTGCTAAGATTTACAGCATTTTATTTGATCCTTAAATTACCTGAAGTTACTCTTATTGTCTGCATTTTACAACACAGAGTGAAATGATTAACTGGTTAAACACTACCTGACTTTTCATCTTTGGGATGTCTGCATTCAGATTGTGTGTACGCAATAGATTAAAACTTTCTGTGTCTCGGTGTTCCTATCTTTAAAATGGGAATAGAGATCGAATCTATCTAACAGGGAAGTTGTAAAGAATAAATGAGTAAATATGAAAATCAATTAGAAGATAAGCTGACAATAAGCTCTTCATGATTTCTAGCTATGAGGATGGTGACTTCCCCAAGAGGCATAGTTAGAGAGAAAGTGACCCAGTGGTTTTTTTGGTGGAGACCCCACTGGTGGAGACCCCACTGGTGGAGACTCTTGCATTCTGCAGACAGGATGTGGGGGAAGGTCTGTTAGTAGGTCAGGAGCAGTTTAAAAAGAACAGAAGTTTGAGCACCTCATTTCTATGATTTGCATTAATTATGACATGCATGTACCCTCGTAGTAATATTCTATGTGTATTATAAAACTAATAAAAACTAATAAAAAGAGGGCATTAACATAGATATGAAAACTAGACCTAAGGTTTTCCTTCTTTCTTTCCATGTATCATCTTGTGCACCCCCACCCGGAGACCCCTATTCTCAAGGATAAAAGTACTACATTTTATTTTATTTTTAGATAAAAAAAAAAAAAAACCTGGTTAGAAGTAGCAGATAGCTGTCTCTCGCGAATTTTTTAAGGTTCAGAAAAAAAAAAATAAGGGGAAATTGATTAGAGGTGTAGGATGAGGGCAAGGGGAAAAGGAAGACAAGAAGAGGAAGAGAATGAGAGAGATAAGAGAAACAAGCTTTTGTAAAGGGTGAGAGATAAAAGGGAGGGAGAGAAGAAAGGAAAAAGAAATAAGTAAAAGGAAAGAAGAAAGACAGGAGGGGGAGGGAGGGAGGGAAGGAGAGAGGGAGATAGAGGCAGAAGGTGAGAGTGAAGTGTCTCCAGATGCCACCGAGTCTGGTGGTGCCTGTGTCTCCAGCCGGCCTTTGCTCTGGACCCCTGTAAGCTGGAGGAATGTTCTGTCACAGTCTATAGGCTGGACCTTGGCCTCTTTCCACACGTTCAGAACCAGCGGCTAATGAAGTGGCTGTGGCTTTTTGGTCCATGTCTCTTAGCCTATAGCGGGTTCCCCTCCGAGGCCTCTCTTCCTGTCCCGAGTGATGTAGAGCCTGACCTTTTCCCATCACCGTCCTGCACACCTCATTAACTTCTCCTTGCAGCTGGAGGTGGCCATG